TTTGGGATAGGATTTGATCAATGAAAACCGCAAATGAATTTCGACGAAAACACAGTTGAGTTGATTTGTTTTTTTTGTTTTTTATTTTTTTTTTTTGATAGGTTTGGTCAATTAAACCCACTTGATTCGTTACCACACGATGTCGATTAATTGGTTAGGAGTTTTCATTGTATTGAATCCGAAACCGAATCCTTAATGCACTTATAAAAAATAAACCTATCCACGATGAAGTGGTGTTGATGTCGTAAATGGTGCATAGAGGAGACATTATTTTCATCAAGCTTTTAAAAACTTGACCGGACGCGGAACCGTTTTGGGACTGGTAATCAAGTCGAATGGTTTGACCGTCTGGTTTTAATGAACGGCCTATTCTGATTTTAAAAATTAAAAATAAATAAAATAAAAAACAATTTTATCTGAATTGACGGTTTGACTGCTTAGTTTAAACAGATGGCATGTTCTGATTTTAAAAATAAAATATTAAAAAAAAATAAACAGTTAAAAATCATTTTATGAATCACTGATCAAATCAACAGTTTTTGGCTAAAAAGCAATTTCAGAGTATAACCAAACTGATTATCTGACCGGTTCCCGAATCACCAATATGACTGTCTGATCCCGTCCCATCCGGTTTTCAAAACCATGATTTTCCTGGAGGCTGGAGTTGCCTTTACATTGGTTGGTTCCTAATAATTGATTTTACAATTTTTATGCCTCCAAACTCTAAAACACATTTATCAAAAAAATAAAAATAAAAACTCCAAAACACAGCCCGAAGTTAATGGGCAAATTTATGATACCCTATTGTGACGTGAGACCTAATTGTAATCTCGGCTATGGACGTGGTCAATGTGGCCGCGACATCCATTAACCTTTGGATGATCAAGATAAACGACAGCCATGTTTATCTGAATATCTGATTGGTTCTATTGCTTCAGCCGTTGTTTTAAGTAATTTTGTTTTTTAAATCATCTTCGGCGATTCTGGATTGATTGGATATAAAATCATGTATAATGAACTGGGCAATTATCATGAGTGAAGAGGCTAGTTTTCCATTGGTATAAGACATGGATTCTATTTGGAATTTAGATTTTTTGTCAATAAAACAAAACATATTCCAACCCTCTACTAATTTTTTTAACACTGCACATCTCACCATGAAATGGGATTTACCATAAAAGTGGGACCCGCTATGTATGAGATATACGGTGTGAGATCATGTTGATAGATGGTTGGAATATATTTTGTTGACAGGCATTTAGACTCTCTACATGGGTTCCATGTACACAGATCATCGGCGTGTCCATGAGTCATTGGTTGCCCAGCCCGCTGTATATAATTTATTTCATTGGACAGTTGGATTCACGAGCATCGTATATCTTCATAACTAGTAATTAAGCACATGCGTTGCATGTGTGAAAATTTTCTTCATATTAATTATTTGAATTTTAAATGCATCATAGTTAATATAGAAAACAAAAATTAACAAAAATAACAATATGATTAAAAATAAACTTAAATGCTTGTAGTAAACATGCATGTGCATTTATTGTGGAAATTTTACATTATAATAACAATTATTATTATTATTATTATTGTATTTTGTATTTCATTTCTATCATAAACAAAAATATTTTTTATTTTAACAATGAATTTTATTTAATATGATAAGTATAAAGCTTAGAACTTGATGTAGCGTGATCCGGTCACTCCTAGCTGGCACTCGCGTGGCTCCTGAGAGGTACCTGAGACGAGAGGAAAGAGGAAGAACTCCCGGGGGGTTTTCCGGCGGGAACGTTCCGATGCTTAAGTCAGTATTGTGTGCAAGAAGCAAAAGGAAAACGAAGGTTAAGAGTGCAGGTTGTGCAGATGATTCAAAGATACCTTGTTCCTTGAGAATAAGCCCTTTATAACTGAATTTTGTTGCTTCAGGCCCTCTGACTTCTGACAGGGCAGGTATAACCGCCATTGTCAGTCTGCCACAGCCATTACAGGCAAGGCTGAGGTGGCACGCGCGGGGCCGTCGTTGCAAGGTACGTGCCTGTCAGGTGCGGGACACCTTTATAAAGGTGGCAGACGCGGCGCTATCTGATGAGGGACATGTCTGTCGTCCACAGATTTGTCGGGTACGATGGTCGAGCAGGAAGCCCTCCTGTGGTATACCGAACTAGCCTCCCACGAATTACCCTGAGCTGGGCTATCCTTTGAATGACGGGCTGCCTGTAGCCAGTTATGCCGAGCTAGCTGACCCGAGGTGTCTATGCCTTGGGGTGTCCAGAGATGGATCGGTGCGTTCTTGCCTGGGAGTGGCCCGATGTCTATTGGGAGGAGCTCGGGCCTTAAGAGAGGTCAGGGCACCCCAAACTCGGGACGCCCCGAAGTGCCTTAACCCCGGGGAGGAGGTGCGGGTAAGGCGGCTTTCGGCGAGTAGTTTACCTGCCGAGCTGGACTCGGTGGGACTTTCCCTCCGAGTTGTGCCTACGCTCGTTGCGTTGTCATGCTGAGTCACTGTTTGAGCAAGGTCACGCCCACATGTACCCGTGCTGCAAGGTCGGGCCAAATCACCCTCCATCAGTTGCCCCCCACTCCCTGCGCTGGCGGCGATGACCCAGCGCGGGGAGGTCATGACGCGCCGGGTGGATTTGGCGTTAGTATTCATGCCGCTTTGTCGTGCGCTCCGTCCAGCTGGACCGGTCTAGCGCCCGATTTAATAAAAAAAGACCTCAGTCGCGTCTGGATTACGCGCGGATCTCGTGCGATTTGGTCTTCGCGGACATAAAAAATGCGAACCGTTTTTGCCTTGAGGAACCCGTAGCTTTGGCTATAAATAGGGGGACCCTTGGCCATTTTCTTTGCCACAAAGCTCTCGTCCTTATCGTTTGAGCTCGCATTGAAGGTCTCTTAGCTCGGGTCTTCCGGTTCGTCCTGTTCTCCCAGTCCGGTCGCGCTTCTTTTGGTGAGTCTCCCCGAGCTTTCTTCCCCTTTTCAATTCGTTTCTTCCTTTTAGTTCGCTTTGTTGTCTAGTGTAGACAGCCTGATCGACAAGCCCGAGGTGAGTACCTCGGCTCGGGGTGACTTTTCTACTGCCCAGCCATCCGAAGTACGGGTGGCTTCGGGTCATCTGGCGTCCACCTCCCACCGAGGTCGGGAACCAGATCAGTTCGGGCCTTCCATAATGACTTCGGAGAGGCTTCAGGACCTCATACAGAAGTTCTGCCTCTCTAAGGAATACTCGTATAGCCTTTCCACTAGCAACTTCCCATGGGAGCACGGTCCTGACGAGATCGTGATCTTCAGGGAGCAACTGATAGTCGGGCTCCGACTTCCTCTTCACCCTCTGATCGTTGAGGTGTTGGTACACTTAACATCACCCTGGACCAATTCCACCCGAATTCCATACGGAATGTGGTGGGGTCCATCTCCCTTTGCTTTGATCGTTCTCTCTCCATAGATTTAGATGTTCTTAGTACTATTTTGGCTATAAAGAAGAGCACTTCAGGCGCTCTCCCCGGGCACAGGCGATCCTACTACCTGTCCCCCCGCCTGGGTTTCAAACTCATGCACAAGCTCCCGAGCAAAGTCCCAGCTTGGAAGCGGGACTACTTYGTAGTCCGGAGYAGYACGGGGTGGCCCTTCCCCACCGATTGGAGGATAGCCGTTCAAGACCCTGGTGTCATCCTAGACAGGAAGACCAAGAAGGTGCTTTAGTCACTAGCTCAGCTCGGGTTGAATTATAAAGACTTCACTTCTGAGGAGAAGCTCGTCCAGGCGAGCTTGAGCTCGGGTAGGTTTTCCTCCACTTCGGCTTTCTGTTCATATGTTTACTTCGGGTTGTTGATGTTGTGTTTCGTTGCAGGTCCCATGGAGGCGGAGAGAATAGACAACCAAAAGCTCTTCCGCCAGATGAAGAGAAAGAAACACGTAGCCAAGAAGGCGCGCATTGAGTCCCCGCGAGCTTCAGCCGAGCTCCAATCTCCGCAGACTTCTGCCTCGGGGCCCGAGGTGATAGTCGCGCCTGTCGTCGACTTGGAAGAAGGGGCCGTGCCTAAGGGGCCCAAGGTGATGGTGGAACCTACCGTTAAGCCCACCGAGCCTGCTGCCAAGCCCACCAGACCTGTTGGTGGAAGCGTTGCCGAGGCCAATGCTGTTGATGCCGCCGAGGCTCATCCTGCCGAAGCTGTCACCGAGGCCTCTGAGAGTTCCACTCGTTATGTGGAGATGACGGCTTCCAGCTCAGTGGGTCAGGGGAGCCAAACCATCCTGAACCCCCAGTGCAGCCTGAAGAAGAGCAAGCTGGCTGCATACCCGGGGGAGGTCAGCAATTGGGCAACTCACTCCTGGTCAGCTTGGCGCCCGAGCTGCTACTCATACTATGGTGGTGAGTCTTTCCTC